ACTTGGCAACTTCATAGATAGTGTGGTTTCTAACTGGTTTTCATAATTGTAATTCATTTACTTGAATTATTTATAATATAATTCCAGGATGCCAAAAGTCTCAATATTAAGATATTATGCAGTTCGTAAAGGTTATAATTCAGGAATCTATTTAAATTGGAAGGATTGTGAGAAACAAGTAAAGGGTTGCTCTGGTGCTTTGTATAAAAAATTTGAAACAAAGCAACAAGCTCAGAAATATATTGATGAACAAAAAATTGAAGGTGATAATCTATTGAATATTTGGACAGATGTTTATTGTAAGAAGAATATAAAAACTGATACAATTGCAAGTATTGGGGTTTTTTTTTTAGTAAAAAAATTTATCTGAAAGATTGTCTGGGATGCCTCAAACTAATAATCATGCTGAAATTTATGCAGTAATTCGTGCTTTAGAAATTTGTGATAAAAAATTAGATATAGTTATTAATACAGATAGTTTATATATTATTAATTCAAAAGGTGTTAAAAAACCTAAAGTAAACTTTGATCTAGTGAACTGGTTAAATGATTTGATTAAAGAACATGAAGGAAAAACATATTTCAAACATGTAAAAGGTCATTTAGGCATTTTTGAAAATGAAGAGGCTGATCATTTAGCCTATCTTGGATCAAAGAAACCATTTGTTAAATTATGTTTACCAGAAGTGGTAAAAAATAATAGTAGTAATGTTAGATTTGCTGTTGAACATATTTATTCAACATGAATTATAACTTGGTTATAAACTAAATTATAATAAAATATCTAAATATTTATCTAAAAGAGTACTATTTGCTTTACACATTTTCTTTACACACTTTACAAAGCATGTGAGTATGTGTAAACTCGTAAATGTTGGCTATTATTATTCATGGTAATATGAGATTGTTTTTGCTACAATTGGAGATGCCATAGCAATTGTGGTAAACAATCACATTTCGATTACAGAATTGTATTTGTTGGCATCTGCACATTTGTCTTTCTCATAATTTCTATAGCTCCATTATATTTTTTAAACATTATCTCTCTTGAAAATAGTGTATAACAAAAATATCTACCAGATGCTGATTTATACAATATCTTTTTAAAATCTTTCTTATCACATAGTATCTTTTATATAGTACAACTTGTGCAATGTTGTTTGAAATCACAATCAATCCTGAGAATTTTACAATTTTCACAATGATTATAAATCTTGTTAAAAAAAACATAATTGTGTTTTCTTGTAATTACAATTTTTTTGAATAGAAAAACTAATAGGAACCTTTCAGAAACAAATACAAATTGTTGGTGTTTCAGATCAAATACTATACTTTGATAGATACACTATAATCTTGTTTTATGTGAAAGTCCAAGATAATATTGATTATCTTCTTTTCTCAAAGATGTGAAAATGAGAAAAAGAATCTTATTAGAGAATATTAATAGTGATATAGTATTCATTTAAATAAATTTGATTAGTTAAAATAATTGATAGAAAAAAAATTTATTTGGTACTTGGTACAGAATAAATTGTTAAGACTATTCAGCTACATA